AAAAAATCTGTACAAAGTTACACATAAGATTGTCATTTTACAGGGCCAGTGACAAAACTTTTCAAATGCCCCACGTATCTCAAAATTTTATTAAGTAAGTATGGGTATATTTCTAAGATAAAAAGATTCACTGACACAAATTATATATTATTATATCGTTATCTCGAAAATGTCAAAAAAAAATTGACTCATTTTTGCTTGAGACTCCCCATATAACATATTAGACACATATCTTTTGATTGCCTCAATATATTGATGATAACACTTTAGAATATCTTCAGTATCCTTTTGCATATATATTGTGCTAGAGAGGTGCCAAGATGATATCAAGATATTATTATATTTAATCATTAATAAAAAGTTATTTTTTTTTTGCAAAAAAAATTGTCAACACATCTGGATTGTTAAAAACTTTTTACATACAATCTTTTGAAGTAGGTTCACCACAAGTAGAACAAAGAAGTATATGATTAAATATATCTTTTAAGATAATTATTTAAACGCAAGACACTAATACAATTTGTTTGGCTACATTGACAAAGCCCTAGTTAATGTGGTAAAAACAGCATTATCAAAGAAAAAAGACTATACTATCATGAGAAATTGCAAACAGAATAATATCCTGATGAATATATTAGATCAAATATAATTAACATATTCCCAGACAAAGTTACATGTAATAAAAATGAAAGAATGTTTTAAAAATAAACTAGCAAGAGGAATATCATAAGTTGTATTATGAAATAACTGAAAAAGAAGATCAAGAAGAATCTGAGGAAGAAGTAGATAAAATGTTTGGTGGCTTAGAAAAGTCTCAAGTCTGGATATCTTGTCAGAGCCAAGCATTATTGATTTAATTTATAATCTGGTGGAAGCATTGCATTGTGAAAGTATCAATATGTAAGTTATGGTTCATTGTACCTAAGGTTGGTTGCCGAAACTCTCCAGAAATCAATCAGCAGGGTTTTGGCAGGTTACACATTAATTGTTTATTAGAGTTTCAGCAGAGTTTTGCATTTTGAAGTTTCACAATTTCGGCATAGTTTCAACAAGATTTTTGATAGGATTTAATATAGTTTTGCCATGGTTTCAGCAATTACTAAGGAGGTTTCACCCACAACCTTAAATGTACCCAATTGAATGACAAAATAAGTACAGATTGTTTAAATGCCTCATTAAGAGATACATACCAATCAAGCAAGTAATAGAATCATTAATTACTTCATTGTCAATAAGATGTTTTTCACCAAGCCCTGCATCTTTCAGTTGGAGACAACTTTGATTCTTGAAATCAAAAGAATGTCTTTTCAGATTTTTGATGAGCCCATTCAACTATACTAATACCATTCTAAGATTTGGCTTTCATACATCTTTAAAATTCCATCCCTTTATCAGTAATTGATAAATTTGGCCAGGTAAGTGGGCAATTTGAATTATTGTAAAATTTCTGAATGTTTTAATAACTTGTAAAGATTTATTAATGCTTTTTGTAGATAGATGGATAGCTTGCTGCTACATCAATTAACAGCCCTGGCAAATATTAATAATAATTATAAACAAAAATAATAATAATAATAGTAATAATAATAATAATAATAATAATAAGAGTATGGCCACCTCAA